ACTTCCTGCTTAGAATTGCTTTTGCTATTCTGGGTCTTTTATTTTTCCATATGAATTTCATGATTGCTTTATCTATTTCTACAAGAAATGCCGTTGGGATTTTGATTGGCATTGCATTAAACCTATAGAGAACACTGCTTTTCTTTATTAATTACCAGCCTCGGATTATAACAATGAAAAATGGACTAATACAGAAAGAATATCTTTTAAATGCAGTATTATCTCTTATATATTCCATCACATAGAACAATGTTCTACTAAGGTACTCGATTTTTCCCCCTGAGGGAAAAAGTATATATAGCTTTATCCCTGAGCTATATCTCTACTCATTTCTATTTTTTTTTAATTTAGACACAGGTTTTGCTAAGTTGTTTTGGGCTTTGCTAAGTTGCTGAGGCTGGCCTCAAACTTGTGATCCTCTTGCCTCAGCCTCCCAAGTCATTGGGATTACAGGCATATAACACTGTGTTAAACAAGGTATCAGATTTTAAAGAAAATTTCTTATATGGGGTAGGAAACATGATAATTCTAATTATTTAAACTTAATCATTCTATTTCCCCTGAGTTCTTTTCATTACTATTTTAATTCTTTGTCTTAGAAATAAAGATGTTAATTCAAAACTTACCTTTACTTCTTTCTAAATGATGTATGATGTATAACCAAATTATACTAAGGACATAGCCCTACCGTCAAGGAAATAAAAGTACAATAGGATAAATAAGCATGTAAATACCTATGATACAAAAAAAGAATGGAATAAGAGTCCAGAAAGGAAAAGTGTTTTTGAAGTTCAGAAGAGATCATTTCAGGATGGAAGTTCAGGGAGGGCATATTGGAAAACATAGCAAAAGATATGAGACTGACAATTATGGATAGACAGCTAGAAATGAAGAAGGGCATTCCAGGGCAGATGAAAGAGTGCTTTGAACTATGAATTTTTAGGTTTTATTCATAATGATATTTAAACAAAAGGACAGATGGTTCCATTTTACCCAAATATCTGTCTGATGGCCTGTGGTATAAACTATACTTCACATAATTTCAAGACAGGGCAGTAGTAACCTGCAGCATCTAGAACTTCAACTAAGGCATTAAATACCCTAAAAAATGGATGAGCCTACTTCTTTAGTGTTAGGTAACTACTGTCTATGCCCATCCTGTGATTGAAATTACTTTGGTGATAAAACATAGTGGTCTTGGAGGAGTCTGCATTACTATAATGATATTAAGTAAAAGTGTGTTTATAGCAAATTTTGAGATAAATAAAGTCTTGCCTTTAAAACAAAAGTCAAGGAGAGGTAAAGATTTTGTGAGGAAGAATAGTTATGTCTTTATTTTTAATGTGTAACTTTCTGAATATGATATGACACATATTATGGAAAATAAAATGCAGAATTATATAAAAAAGAAATTTTAAATCACCAGAAAATTTCTGATACCATTAATACTGTAATTTCTCTCTCCTAGCTCTTTCTCCATTCACCTATTTATAAATATTTTATTATAGTCTACTCATGCAAAGATAGGATTATACACTACTGAAATCTCTCATTTTTTATTTAAAAATACATGGGGAGCCAGGTGCAGTGGTGCACACTTGTAATCTCAGTGGCTTGGGAAGCTGAGACAGGAGAATCCCGAATTCAAAGCCAGCCTCAGCAAAGGTGAGGTGCCAAGCAACTCAGTGAGACCCTGTCTCCAAATAAAAAACAAAATAGGGCTGGGGATGTGGCTCAATGGTTGAGTGCCCCTGAGTTCACTCCCTGGTATCTGTGTGTGTGTGTGTTTGTGTGTGTGTGTGTGTGTGTGTGTGTGATGGACTGGGCAAAGTCCATGCCAACCTCAGCACTTTCTTGAAAACATCAGCAACTCAGAGAGCTATTGTCTCAAAATTAATGAAAAGGTTTGGGGATGTAGCTCAATGAGAGAGCCCGTGGTTTGTATCACCAGTATTATATATATGGTGTGTATATGTATATATTATATATACATATTGTGTTTACATATAGTGTATATATATATATCAGTTCAGTTTTAAACATTGAATTTGAGTTAATTATTAATATTGAAATATTAATAATGGAATATCCAGTTAGCTGTTACAGATGCAACCAAGGAGGAATGTTGGGATAAGGGATGAATGTTGGGATAAGGGGTATAATCTGGAAGATGTCAACCTAGAAAAGTAACTGTTGATACCAGGAAATGGGTAAGTTCATCCACATGTTATCAGTTGTGAGTTAGTGGGTCAAGAAAGCAGTTGATTCAGTTGGAATAGAACAAGTAATTTCTGAATGCATCATATGGTTGCTGTAAGTATTCATACTGTATCGCAATATAAAAATCAATTCTTATTGTGAGTCTAATGACTGAACTTTAGGAGCAATAAAGAAACTGACAGGAGGGCAGTCACAATTAGTTTTTCTTTTTTAATCACACTTTTTGTATTTCTGTTTGTATATAAAGTATGTTGACAAATAGTTTTAAGAAAAGAAGATTGACGGTGTCATTGGTCTTTAGACCCCTTGTATGCTTTTTTAATTTAAAAAATTATTTGTTCTTTTTAGTTACACATGTCAGTAGAATGTATTTGGACATAAACATACATGGACTATAACTTCTTCTTAAACTCTTAAAATTTGTTGAGGTACCCAAAACAGTTGTCTTTGTAGATCATACCTACTGATATTTATGTATTAGAAGTTAAAACACAAATTAAAATAACAGTAATAAATCAATAATATGTTAACATAAATATCATTTTCATGAAAATTGCTATATTTTCCAAAACAAAGTGTTATCGAGAAGAGTAGTATTATTATCTTTATTGTCTGGGCTAAAAGGACATAGTTGTGTTCTATCTAATTCTTCTTTTTTTTGTTAATTTTTTCACACTGGGGATTGGAACATTTTCCCACTAAGCTACAACCTCAGCCCTTTTTATTTTTTGTTTTAAGATAGGATCTCACTATGTTGCTGAGGTAGGCCTCAAACTTTCTATCCTCCTGCCTCAAATGTTCCCAGTCACTGGGATTACAGCATGTGTCACTCTATCCAGCTTCTGCTTTAACTTAATTGATGTAGACAGGCAAGACAATGTGAATAAAAGGCAAAGAATAACTTAGTATTATTATGAAAAATAAATTTGACTTCACAGACACCCTAAAAGTCTCTAAAGAAACCTCCCTCAGGAATTTCTGGACCACACTTTGAGAATTATTGGCACATGTTACAAAGAGAAAAGGAAGAATAAGGATAGAAAATGTTTATTGAGAATTAATGAGTAATAAGGATTTGATTGACATGAGTAAAAATTATTCGAACTGTACACCAGATCATATCACACATGCCATGACTTTCCATTGTCTCTAAGGGTAAAACCCAAAATCCTAATCAATGTCCCTAAGGCTCTGGATGATTTAACAATTTTCTGCCTGTCCTTGTCTCATCCTACATCACTGCTTCACTGAGCTACTCATGCTCATGACACTTTACATACATAGGTTGTCCTTGTAGTCTTTGATGTGTCCAGAAATTTCTCATATCAATTAACATTGTTTCTCTTTTCTCTGCCTGGAATGCTAAATACTATACATTCTTCAGGCCTCCAATTAATAGTCACTGTCTCAGGGAATCCTACCTAACCATCTCAAGCCCAATTTAAATCGACTCTGCTCTCTTGGAGATACCTTGTTCTGTTCCTTCAGAACATCCGCCAGTTTAGAACTATGTATTTGATTAAAGAAGTGGTTATGTTTATCCTCTGCCAATAGACTGCAATCTCCACAAGAGAAGGAACAGGTGTGTTTTGTTTTCCACTGCTTTCCCAATACATAGTACTGAATATGCACATAGTAGGTGTTCTGAAAAATTTTGCTTAGTGAAAGTAGGAATGAGACAATTAAGACATATAGGGAGACTATTCATCTGAGAAGAAATTATGCACATTTATGTGTTGTATGGAAAATGATGAGATCCTTGTTCTGAATTTCCAAATAAATTTTATTTTAGAATCCAATAAGGTCTGTGATACACTATCCTAATAATTGTTAGCATCTAATAGCAATTGTCAATGTATGTGACTATAAAGTCTTCTTTGGGCCATTATTAAACATGTGTTTTAGAAGCACTAAATGCCTTATTATTGCAGTATAAAGTAATAGTTACCTGTAAGTCAATCATAATAATAATTCACTTAAAAGGTTATGATGATGAGGTCACAAAGTTAGAGAGAAGTTCAAGTGCATTTAAATGCCAACAGAACAATCTTAATTGTTCTATACTCTTTTCAAATTCTTTATTCTGGAGTGCAATTTCACCTCTCAAAAACAGAAATCATAGTACATTTTGAAACCAATTTTCCCCTTTTCAACAACTGTGATAGTTAAAAAGTGCCAGAAAGTAATATTCTTAAAAGTATTTTCAATAAAAAGACAAACACTAGCATAAAGCCAGCTTTCAGATCTGCAAGGGAAGACACTATATTAACTTTATGATGGTACAAATTATTGTTATTGCCATATTTGTTTATGTGTATGAATATCAAATATAAGTGAATATTATATAAATTAAAGACCAAGGTACTTTTCTTTTAACTGTCTATAATTTAACATTTAGGCAGTTATTTGAATCAATTATAGCAATAATACAAATGAATTGCCACTGCATCCTATTGAGAAGCCTTGGTTCCTGAAGGTTATGATTAATCTGTATTAGGGATACATTTTATTCTGAGTGTAAAGTACAGCAGCACTGATGGAGCCTTTCCATTGAAGGATATGCTATATGAGTGTACACTTACTTCTTTTAAGCGAGGTTTGCTATAAGGAATACAAAATGACTTGCTAAAGCCCAAAATTAGAACAAAAAGTATTTTGCTTTTCCTTGGTAGTTTAGCCAGAGAAGAGGCTCCACAGGGTCTATTTGGATACTAAATAGGAATAGGTAAAGAGAAGACTTTAAATGGTTTGTCAGTTGTTCTCCTGAGCCTTATTTGGGTGTATAAAAAATAAGTCATCTGATTCTATTGTGAACAGATGGATGCAAAATCCTGGCCACCAACTGTTCCCATCCAAGTGAGCTTCCTCCAAAGTGGCTGCTTTCCCCAGAGGGGCACAGTGGCGGGATATGGGCACTTCCTAGCAGCAAGCTGGTGAATGCAGTTTTAGAGACCTGTTTATGAAGAAGCTGTTTGGATAGAAAATCATTAAGCCACCTTTCCTGCTTCTAATCATTGTAGCCAAAATTTAAAGTGCCAGAACCATTCATAATCTCTGGTAGATGATTTCTGGATGGTATTACCAATTGCAATAGGAAATAATGGCTTGCCACAACAAGTACATATCGAAAGTATGCCTTTGAAAACATCTTTCCATTAGTCAAGCAACCAAACAAAACTTCATTTCAGATGGTACACATTGATTTTTTTATGTAATTGTTATTGACTTTAGTCTTCTAATATTATTGTACTTACACTCTTACTTATGAGGGTACTTAGAAACAAGATTGAAATAAGTGATATTTCCATTATGCATTCTTCTCACAGAATGCAACCTATGTGATTAAACAAATACATTAAAAAACCCCAAAGCCAGAAGATCTAAATATTGTTCTCTAAGACTGAATTGTTCTAGGCACATAGTAATAATTTCTCAATATATATTTGTTGATAATTGAACTGTTCACAAATCATTGAACATCTCTTAGATTCTTTGCCTATTCCCAGTGCTGGCACACTTCCTGGAATACAGTAGATAATCCACATTTGCTGATTTAAATTTATGTAATTACATCTGTTCTGGGATTAAACATATAAAAGTATATAATACAAGTGTTTGTGTGTCTTTGTTAACAAAAAGACATATATCTTGTGAATTCCTAGCACATTATTTAAATAATATAAAATAGGCAACTGGATGACTGTCATATAGAGATTGCATGCTCCATTACAATTAATTACATTGCCCCTTACATTGGCCATTCCAAAACTAGCAATTTAGTGTGCTTCTTCATGATATCCATATTTGAAATGGAAATACTTGATCCCATGAGCAAAACTACTTAAAATTCTGTAATTGTCTGTTGCTGAAATGTGTCTGGGACATCTCTAAAGTTGAATAAATGCTTTAGGAAATCCACCTACAATAGCAGGATATGGATCACTAGAAACAGAAAATCCATTCTTAGGAAAAGGAGAATGTGACACAGCTTTCTGTATTTTAGAATTGGAACAGAAAACAATGTTTTGAAGAAACTTAAGGGAGACCAATACAGAACAAGTGAATGAGGGACATCAGAGAAACTTAGGAGACCAGTAAGTAAAATGAGAGAAAGAATGTGAGAGAAAATATCAAGAGACAGTAGGGGAAAGTTTTTTTTTTTTTAATGATAAAACAGATTGCTGGGGAAGGAGTTGTAGCTCAGTGGTAGAGCACTTGCCTAGCATGTGTGAGGTACTGGGTTCGATCCCCAGCACCACATAAAAATAAATAAATAAAAGGTATTGTGTCCATCTACAACTAAAGAATATCTATTAAAAAATAGGTTGCTGAATTGCCAGGAAAGAAGCAGAGTCTCCTTTCGTGAAATCCCAGGTATTAACTGTCCATTTCCCCAATGTCTTCAAAGAGTAACAAAGAGAATGAAGGTGAAATGATCATAGTTTTAAATCCTGTATTACATTTCCATTGCTGTCATGGGTTGTCTATGTCCCATTCTGCCAGCACCTTCTTTTCCTTAGTAGGAAACCCTTTCCTGAAGTAATGGTTACAGAATTTCCTTAGAATATCTCCAGTTGAAGAAGGGACTGGCCAGATGTTTTTTTTTTTTTTTTAACCTCCTTCTAGAACTTTGAGGTGGGGATAGAGGAGGTAACCTGAAAGTCTTTTCCCTCCACAGTTTAGGGTTTGGGCAGTTCTTAATGTGAAATCTTTCTTTTTTAGGATTTATAAAAGTATGGATATTTATTATATAAAGATCTTGTTTTTATTTTGAAGGAGGGTAGTGGGTTTTAGGAAGGTTCATTTACATACTGGAGACAAGATGTGCTTTATAGTCATCCTTTCCCCCACTGCTTTTTCAACAGCCCAACAGGGAGACCACGGAGGAAGCAGTTGCTACGCCCCATACAGAGTCTGGTTGTCATCTTTTGTTTCTTTGTTGGCAGGGCGGTGGGGCGGGACGGGGTTGGGGGTGGTGGTGTTAGGCCTCAGGGATCCGAATGATTCCCGCCTGAAGCTGAAGGCAGTGTTGGAAAAAGGACGGTGGGAATAAACGTGCTCTTGATTCTCTGATTCTTGCCCGCCTCCCCCCCTCCCCAGTGTTCAGTTCCATGTATTTCCTCCCCTTAGTGGTGTGATGGGCTGACAATGCTCCTTCTCTGCAAATACCTGTTTCAAAAGCCGGGAAGATGGGAACACCGGGTTCCAAGATCTCCCCCTGGCGTCACCCTACACTACCTCTCTTTGGGAAACCGAACCCAGTCCCGCGGTTCAGAAGCGCAGAGACCAATCCAGCCCAGAAGCCTTCTTCTCCGGCAGCTGATGCCACCCAGGGAGGGGGGAACAGCTGGAAGCTTTGGTGCGCGCCGAAAGCAACTCTTCCCGGTAATTAGCGCCAGCCACTGCTCCAAACGCGCTTTATTGCAACCCCTGGCGGGCTCTCAACTGGGCAATAGCTTCATGCTCTCCTTTCTGTTTTTGAGGAGGAAAATTAAAAACGCGCGTGCACACATACACATTCATACACGCCCTTCTTTCTTTACTCAAGAAAAGCATCAGCAAACGTCCTTCGCCCAAAGACGGTTCGATGCTTCGCGCTATTATTTCTTTACTAAGAGGTTAGCGGTCCCTACGAACACAACCAGGGATCTATCTCTGCTCTGCACGCCCCCTACCTGGCTATGGCTGGGGTGGCGCTGGGGGGTAAGGGGCTTGGGAGTCCGCAAGACTCTTGATTTTTTTTTTTTTCAGTTGGTCTGTCTCCCCTGGCTTGGCACTTGGTATCTCCCACGGTCTAGCTCTCGCTAGGAAGCCGGGAAGAAGGCTGCTGTGGGCGTCGCCACCACCCTTCCCGGAACAGGAGCCTGCTCCAAGAAGCGGGCGCCAACGCCTCCCACTTCGGTCACATCTGGCCCAGCCATGCAGATGTTAGGGGCTGGAAAGTGCCTCGATTCGAGGTGCCCCCAAGTTCCGAGCATGCCCAGTCGGACTTCTAAGGCTCCTGAAGAGAGTTTCTGGGTGTGCAGATTCCACTTCTCCGCTTTTTCGAAGAAGCTGAGGACAGTGGGAAGGGAGGGATCCAGGGCTTTGGGCCATGCACTGGGTTCTCCGGGGTACGTGCCCTCGTGCCCGAGTGGGTGAGGGGCAGAGCTGTTTGGGGAACCCAAGGACCTGGGCGGCCAGACTGGAAAGAATCCGGAGAGCTGCTATCTTCCCCTACCCCCCTCCATGGGGACTTTCTCGATACTAACCTGACATACCACCAGCAGGCTGCATGCGGCTGGCCTTGGCTCGCTGGGGTCATACTGTTAGCGGGAGGCAGTCGGTGGTGCTCTCTCGCCCTCCGATGCACGAGAGCTTGTGGGTAGCTTCTGCACCGCATTCGCGGGCTTAGCTTTTCTGGAAAGCAGGGAAGACGGGAAAAAGAAGAGGAACACAAACAGTTTCCCTCCTCTTTCCCCTGAACCCCGAAGTTATACTGACAAGACTTCCCATTCTTTCTCAGTCCTGAGGGTTTTACACATCAAAGCAGTGATCGCTGTCGTGTGTGTGTGTGTGTGTGTGTGTGTGTGAGCGCACGCGTGTGTTTGTGTATGTCATGACTAGGAAACACTGTCCCAGATTGATAGTGGATTGAGAAATACTCCTCCAAAATCCCTCATCCCATCTCACCCTCAAGAGAAAATAACGGTAAAAGCTGACCAAGCCAGCCGTCTGGTCAGGAACCTATCCACCGTGGTTCCAAATCTAAATTTTGTTGTTCTTCATTTCCTTCTGTTCCCACAGCCAGCTTTCTCCTTCCCTCTCTCCACCCTCTAATAACACTCTGATCTTTCTCATCTCGACTTCTCTTCTGCCGGCTACCTGCTCCTTCAGCCCTCCACCTCCTCCTCCTGCTCCTCCCCCCACCCCCACCCCCTTCTCAGCTGCGGCTAAAACCTGGAGTCTTGGGGAAAAAGGAAAAAAAAAAAAAAACTCAGCTGTGGAGCTGTCAAACCGGGCATGCTCAGTAGACAGGGCAGGTTTTTTGGTCTCGAGTAGCGGAGAAACATTTTTTGCACCACCGCGACCAGCCTTAGAGCGCGGCGGCGGCGGCCACGGCAACATCAGCACAGCCATTAGCCGTGCAGACGCCCCGCACCCGGGAGCGCGGCGAGCTCCGGCTCAGCCCGGAGTTCACCTCCGAGTGCCCCAGGGGCTGAGCTCACGCTTTTTGCTTACACACACACGCACACACTCTTTCATACATACACGTATACACACTATCTCTTGCACACATAAGACCTAGGCGCAAGCACTCTACTGGCAGCGGTCATCCGCTGGCGCGGTAGTAGCCAGGTTCGGTTCCTGCCTCAGGCGGCAGCCGGCTGTCAACACCGCCGCCGCCAGCCAAAAGAGAGCGATGCGGGGGCCAGAGCGGCAGCTCGAACAGTAATGTGGATTTACAGTCGCTTCCCGCAGGAACCAGCCGAGACACCTGAAGTCCTGGACACTAGCAGCACCAAGCGGAGCTGAGCACCTGGCTAGGGGGCGGGCCGACCGCACCTGAGGACACCACCGAAACTTGCACTTGGACTAGGTAGGTGCGTTTCTTCTGGCTCCTACCTCCTTCCCTTTCCCTCCCGCCCACCATCCCCCATCTTCCACCCCGAGGACTCTGGGCGAACTTCGCCCCAAGGCTGCAGCGGCGGACGCCTGCTCCCAGCTGTGAGCGGCGGGTTGCGCCTGCTCTGGGACTCCAGCCCGGGGTAACGCAGCCTCCGCAACCTTCTTCTTGTGATTTCCACCAGCCCAGGGCTCTGGACCACTCGGGGGAGGTGGCCTTGTTCGCAGTTCAAGCTTCCAGCAGGCCCTAGGGACACTGCCCTCCAAGGGTTTGCTGAGCTCTGGCGGCACTTTTACCAACCAACTCCTCCACTTTAGAGAAGGGGGCTCCTCGCTTAGGCTCTCGCGCAGACCAGGCGCTCTAACAAGTGGATTTGGATGCTAGGGGTGGGGGTGAAGGGCTCGATTTGAAAAGAAATAAGGGGACACCACTCTTCCGGCATCCGTCCCACTTGGAATGTCCACCCGGGGTTGAACCACTCAGGTTTCGGCTCTGTCATCTCCCCAAGAGAAGATACCTGGGGGCTAGGACGCACTTGAGTACCTGTTTGCTTCTGAATTTCTATTCGAACCTCAAACAGGGAGCTCATGTTCCAAGGGAAACTCCAGGACCCTTCGACCTAAGCCGTCGAGGGCCCCACCCGTAGCATCCTCCCTGTAATCCAATTTTTGTTAAAAGAAACGGTCATTACAGGGCAGTCGGTGCTCCAGGAGCCCTCGGTGTTTGCTTTAACCACGCGCCCAACTGCGCGGGCTCGTATGTTTTCGCATCTTGAGATGTGGTCCCTGGGATCAGCAGCGGCCAGCACATCTGCCGAGAGCCAAGCACCCGCTAGGCATGCCTGGGGAAAATGTAACTTCACTTTCTTCCACTCCACAACGGGCAGATTGCCAATTCAGTTTTAGGATGCTTTGCCTAGAGGTGGAGAAAGGGAGACTGTTAGTGCTACTTGGTGAGTGGATGTGTTTGCAGACAAGAGTGTATTTAAACATTTCAGTGAACCCAGTGCAGTCAGTTGTTTACAATTGCAGAGACAGACTATCTCACTCCACTAGTAGATGTCTTCTCCACGTCTATTTCGCCACTGGGAGAGTAGGGGCGGGGGCGGGGGCTGGTTTGCAGCTCATACTCGAGGTCCGCAGCTTCGGGTTTAGCAGATCTGCATCACTGCTACTGGCAATATGCTAATATGGGTAGGAAACTCTTCATCTTCGATATGAAACAACTGGTCAGGAGACGCCTTGAACTTTATCGTTTTTTCCTTGGATACTAATCTAGAGTTATATTTAAGGTGGCCCCAAGAAATACAAAGAGAAGTTCCCAGTGCCACAGATGGAAAATTAGATGCCATTCGGTTTTACAAACCAAAAGGAAACGAAATACCCCAGTGGACTGTAATAGGTACTGTTAGATTAGTATTTAATTGATTGCGTTTGTGGTAAGTAAGGATCATAGACAGCTTCCTTGAATTTTAGACTGCTATTCTGTGATTATAATTAAAAAGCCAGGTACACTGTACTCGGAGAATCAATTGCTACTCAGCCTGTGTGAGGAAGACATTGCAAATGTCTGCTTTATTATATCTTTTTGCTGAAATATCCTGGTCCACCTTTCTAGTCCAAAGTCTTCCAATCTAGAGCAGAGAGTACTCTAATGTTGCTGAGGAAGAGTACAACCTAAGAGGGAATAGCTTTTAATTAATTTATTTTTTTAATGAAAAGATGATCCACAGCTTTGACTTCTGCTCCACGATTATCCAGCATTTGCTTGCTGGCTCACCCCCACCCCTTGTTCTTTGTATCTGCAATGTGGGGAAAAATGAATTTTCATAAGGCGTAATATGACCCTTAAAGTAAATAACTGGAAAGGCAAAAATCCCAGTTTTGTCAACTTCAAAGACTTTTTTGTGATGTTAAATAATTTTGTATTGCAAAGTTATTTTTTTAAGGGTGAAAGCTTTCAGGTGTGCTAAAATAATGTTGGAAACTTTTGATGATAAGAAAATGAAGTCACAATATGCATTTGAAAGGGGGTTCAGGTTATTTCTAAAATGAATCTATGCTCTAAATGTTATTTGAAAGTTTTCAGGTTGTCCACCAGAATGTTTTTGAAAAACAGGTGTTTCTGGAAGACAACTCCATGAAGAAATGTTTAATATTTTCATCATAGAAGTAATAAATCCCAGCCCCTAAAACAATGCCAAACACATAGTAGAAAAACAATAAATAATTTTTGAATACATGAGGTAGAATTTATCATTAGGTCTAGATCCCAATTAGGAATTAGGATTAGTCATGTCATTGACAAAATATACAGTGAAGAAGAAGAAAAGATTGCTTTGTAGAATCATTGTGTTGTAAGAATGATTAAGTGAGATACCAAATATTCAAACATATTGATAAATTATAAAGAAAAACTATATTAAATGGAACCATCATTTCATTCAAGGCCTAATTTTAAATTTGAATACCATAAAAAATCTCAGTGTTTCAATTCAGCTATCATAAGTATAAATAACACTGACATGATCAGTTTCCCTCATAAGCATTGTACTTTTCTGAGGCCTTTAATACAAAGATTCTTGCTGAAACAGAACAGTCTAGCATTCAAGTTTATACTGTACAATATCATTTTGAATTATCAAACTGCAAAATATTATTTGATGTTACTTCTAAAAGCAGAAGGCTTAGTTGAAATTTATTTTCCAAGACAGTCTTAAAAACTTGAAAGTGGTAAGAAATTTTAGTGTTTATTAACATAACAACATTTTTTTATATTTGCTGTTAGAGATAGGCATTTAGCATTCATGTGATGTTTGCTTGAAGCTTGCTTTTCCTAAAAGTCCATCAGTTTCAAATTTAAGTATTGTTATCAAATGATTGGTATATATTGTGATTAATGAATTTCTTAAGATTTCCCAAACACATTAATTTATTGTTGTTTATGCATTTATTTATTTACTTGTGAATGACCTTGGGTCAAAAGAAGATCAGCACTTTGAATACCTCACTCAATTATTAATTTTTAAATGAAAACAAATATTCATATACTGGTAATATTTGTCCCCCTCCTCACATTTACACACACACACACACACACACACACACACACACACACACACTCACACACACACTCCAACATACATACACACAGAAGTAATTTCATGTAAATGCTGTGCATCAGGTATAAAACATGTAGGATAATTTTATTTAAATTATATATGTATTTTTAAATTGCTGTCAACTTTAATCTCAAAAGTTATAATCCGTGCATACTTCAAAAGAGCTTCCCATCATTTACCTTTTGGAAAAAGGTTTGAACTGAATTCCTAGAACAACTGCAGGCAAATGAAATGATGAAAAATATCATAAGATACAGAATTTAGCAATTCTGATTAACAGCATAACTGGAAATATAGCTCCTGATTATGAAAATAAAAGGAATCAAATTTAAATATTGTTCACATATTCAATAGTTGCTTTAAATCATGTGCAGATTCTGAGGATTAGATTAGATCACTATATTGACTGGAGATCATCATTATTTTTTTCTTCCTTTAAAAGGTAAAATTTACTTTTTTAAACATAATTTAAAAATTATGCACTATTTATATAATATAATTAAGGTATTTATCCTGACTTCACATATTATTTCTATTCCTTTCAGTTTTCCATTGATTTTTGTTAGAACAGAGGAAAGTAAATATCAAATAGAACCAGCTAGAACCATGCTTAGATTTGAGCAGGTGAATGCTATAAAAGGCTTCACACAGCTTTTGATTATTCTTAACAACCTTGATGGCTCAACCATAGGCATCTCTCTTCAGTATTGGCATCCTGTTATGACATTTATATAATGTATAGAGATTTTGTAGTTTGCTAGACATGCTGTGGTACAATTTAGCAAGACCAACGATATTGCTTACATTTGGTACTCATGAAAAATAGGGCTGTATAAACTGGAGTATGATGGCATAAACTAAAAATTGTTGTAAAATAAAATATTCATATAATTGCTCTGCTAACATTTCTCTATGTAATTTAAGCAAACTAGTTTTAATTGGAGATGGTAAATATTTTTAAAGTTAATAAAGATTCCAAAAAATAGTAACTTAGAGACTAATAAATGTAGGCTATTAAATTCTTATGTAATTTCAGGACTCATCTCTAGACCTGAAAGTATAACCTTGGATAATTTACAACTTAAAAAAAATATTCTGAATTGTACTTCCTGTCCAAGCCTCTGCTTTAGGTAAACAATAGCATATGGTGAAACTTGGATG